ATATCATTTATAGTCTAAGCTTAAATAAAGATTTATTAACTTAAATAAAGATCAGTTATTTTAAATTTAATAAAAATTATGTTTTTATATAATTTATATAATTATTTTATATAATTTAAAATTATAATTATAAGAAATTAAGATTATGAAATGTTAAAATATTAAATGTAAATATTTCAAATAACTTGAAATACATTTGTGATAAAATATAAAATATAAAATAAGATAATTTTATTTGACTTGTACATGTGTATTCAATGATATAATAAATATAGAATGCCAATGAGATTTATGAATGATAGTGCAATAAAATTATATATATATTATTAATAATTTTATTAAGAATAATATATCAAATATAAATTAAATATTATTACAAATATTTCTAATACAGATATTAATAAGAATAACTAATGTAAATAAGTAAAATTAATTAAATTTTATTGTATAAAAAAATTATGTAATTAAATATTATTGGTAATAATTTATTATATACTATATATTTTATATTTTATTTCATATACTTATATATTTGTTTCATATATTTATGTATTATATATTATTATTATATACAAAAAAAATTAAAATTATATTTTATATTTATATTATACTATAAATTATATTTACAAGTTTATAACATCAATAAATCAAAACAAAATATAGCTTCTTAATAATAATACAATTAAATAGTTTATTAAATTAAATATAAATATTGGTAAAAATTATTATCTTTGAGAATTATATTTAAGAGAAATTATATTAAAAACATTGTAATAATTTTTATATATAAATTTGTATTATATAGAATCAATATAATACAAAATAATTTGTAAATAGTTATGAATATGTTATTGAAATTATGCATTATAATTTGTTATTTGATCTTATCATAAAAATGTCATAAAAACTTATCAAAGGATTTGAATCAAGATTTATATATTTATATATTTGTTTCATATATTGACTATACGTCATATATAATGATGTATAGTCATTTTGTATTACCATGATTCTAGTACACTAACTGCATATTTATATTTGTCACGCAATCGAGAAGCAAGATTGGTAGAAGTGCGCGTATCAAATTTTAAATAGCCCGGGTGAAACTTTTATTACAGATAGAACATTATGCTTTCTATTTATGCGACACAATTTTCTATTTTTTATTATTTAATTCATTTAATAATTAATTAATTGATTTTATTTTAAATAATTTTATTTTAAATAAATCAAACATACTATTTAATTTTTAATAAATGTTGTTTTAAATTCAAAATATTGAAGCTTTATATATTATATATATATTTTTAATATTAATTATTATTATTATTAATTTGAAATATAATTGCTAATTACTATTATAATTAGAATTTATCATTATATACACTCAAAATATTGTGAAAATGTATAGATATATGTATATCGAAAGATATTTTATTAACAAAATTGTTATTATGATATATTATTTTACTTATTTATATCTAATGATTAGTTATAATATTTAATATTAACAAAAATCAGAATAAAATCAGAACTGAATTGCGGTCAATTGATTCATGTCGAAACTATTTTAATACACGTGCGTACGCATACTCATAAGAGTATATGCTCGCGATACAACTACGGATGTAATTACATCGCAAACGAGCCGGAAGTGGAAACGGTCTGGCCGGTTTTGCCAGTTAAACGACTACTTTACACGCTCGATTATTCTAACGAATTATCTAAAAAAAATGTTTTTGTTCTTACGAACGATTTATTAATCGAAAAAATTATTATATATTGAAAATAATTATATTTTCACAATTAAAATATTTATATATATTATTTTAATATATATAATTTACTATATTAATTTTATAATTTATTAGTATTTAATATGTTTTTATAATATTTTGTTTTTAAAATATTTTTTAGTATTATTTTAAGTAATTGAATATCAAATATTGAAATCACAAATTTTCTATAAAATTTTGAGTGTATAAAATTTAATAATAGTAAAAATAATAATAAAATATATATAGATTTATAATAGATTTATAATAGATAATATAAACTC